TCTGGCCCTCTGCTGTTTAGATAGGGTTTCTCAATCATGTATCATATTCCTTACAGGAAAAATAAACATCAAAATTCACAAAGTACTTTGTAAGATTGTCCCAGCTCCTAGCTTGGACTTGTTCATTTGTTTTCAGATCTTGCTTTAGACTCCTCTTTCAAGCCTGAGAAAAGAGTAAACACTTCTTTTGGACCCACCACAGTCTCAGTGAGATGACCTACTCATGGTGTTTGGTTTTATCCTTCCTAGTTGCCACAAGAAAGTTTCCATTTCTATGACCAAAGTTTCTCCCACGGCACACGCACAGTAGCATACAGTCCAAACCGCAGGAGCAGTCCATAAGAGTTGGCTCTGTGTTGAGGAGTGGGTGGGTGGTTCTTCACTAGTCACCAGAATCCGTTAATAAGCAACTATTTATGCTATTCACATTTGTTATTTTAGGCTACAGGAGGGTATAGGAATCAAATTATCTTAGGTAACTTGATAAGATTTAGGGAGGTAACAGGTTCAGAAAACAGTAGAGAGAATCTTATGGATGACTAAAGTGCAATTTTATGGTCTCTAAAAATAAGAAATATGATATCATCTTTCAAATTAGGATTCAGAAACTGTACCAAGATTCTGGTCCCTGGATCTGGCTTAGGAGGCCTTGAATAATGGAGGTAGGCTACGAAGTCAGTATAACTTCAGGGTGAATCACTTCCACATCACAGGAAAAAGCTTTATACTTCCTCTACGCACATGCAAGTTTCATCACCATCCCTGGAGGAAAACAGAAGACATTTGACAATCTACCTAAAAAATTGTCAAAATCCATTTTTTTTGAAATTTTTTTTTTATCGGCTAAAGAAATTTTCTGGTTTTTGGTTAACAAATGAACATACTTTATGTGCTAAAGCAAGAATTTGTGTTTTCCTTAATGGAAAAGAGATGCCATCTTGTTTGTTCAGAACTGTAAGAGACACTGTGTGTGTTATCTGAGCTGGGCACAAGCAAGTTACTACTTTTCAAATTTATATGCCTTGCATGTTTTTATAATACTTGCTCCATGCTTGTGAAGAAATTGAGATCTAATATTTAAAAACAAAACTGAAATAAAACAACAGCCATATATAGCTTCCCTCTCTTGTGGTGTGTATACTGTTCCTATCTGGTCAGATGAACCTCATGTTCAGGAATAACACTGTACAAATTTCTCTAAAGGGTTACTCAAGGATATGACCTAACAAAAGATTAAAGAATAGACTTTAATCAAACTGTCTGGATTGTGAGCTCACATTTCGTTTGATTTATTGCATGTTTTATGAAACAATAAACTGATTTTCAAAAATGCATGTAACTCAACGCTACTGTAAGAACCCTAATTCGAAATCTGAATATTTTAATGGATTGCATTTAGTCTTTTCTTTGCCTTTTAGAGACATTAGGTAAAATTACCCTCTATTTGTAAAGAGTTGTATAAATCTTTACCACTAAGATGGTATTCTCTTTTCTTCACTGGGCTCTTCAATATGAAACTTGGCCTGTGGTTGCTTTCCTCGTCTTATTACACCATTGACATATATGTGTATACAAATGAACACCTATATATACTGTTTCCCAGAACTCTTAGAATTTTGTAAGAATCTAACATGTGTGTATATGTTACTACATGAAACCTCACTGAAATGCAAGTTTTATAGAACAAAAGGATTATTGTTATAAATCTGAGCTGCAACAACTATATAAGTTTCCTGTAGCCATATTACAAGAAAACTTCTATCATCCTAAAATGATCTGTATACACCATCCCTGAACAAATCTGTCATCAGCTAGTTATGGTTCAGCTTCTACATATATGTGTCATATAGAATTTTCACATAAATGGAATTAAAGAATATGCATCTGATTTCTTTTAATTAGTATAATTTAAATATATTTAATCAATACTTATTGTAAGAATCAGTGTTTTGTTTCTTTTGCTAACATTTAATATTTCATTGTATATATATATATTATATATATATATATATATATATATA